ATAATTTCTCAGCTTGTGTCTCCAAATTCCTTACTATAATAATAAAGTACGATCAGTGGCGTCAAGTAAAGCTAAACAGAACGCTGTAACGGTAACAGGCCTTTTGTGTCCATAAATTATTAAATACTTTTCAGAATGACGAAAGTTGTATCAGAGTATAAATATTCACAAATAAATATTTATAAATATATTTATAATTATAATTTATATTTATAATTTACAAAGAAGTGTTTTGCAGAGTAGTAAATAACAACAACAAAATTTATTACTCTATTTATTAATTAATTGAATTTTTAGCTTACCATACAGCTGTTTCGAGTATTGCCAAATAACCATAATTGGTGATCTTGGAATTATTTCTTATATTTAATTACTCATTATTTATTATTAAATTTTTGAGACTGCAAGTTATAAGGGCTGATCTCGTGTCCTGCCAAATTTGAAGCTCAGAGTCAATATTAATAAGGCTCTATGCAGAAGAAATAATGCAATAAATAATACTAATACAAAAAGAAAAATATTTAAACATAACAATAAGAAAATACTAAAACTAATCAATTCAATTAGTCTATAGTTGGTTTATAATATCGTCCTAATATAACACAACAGGTTAATATAACTTTCACAGTAAATTAGCAAAATTCCAAGTTAGAAGTTATAAGTCAAATACAGCTTTGGGTCATTTTGTTATAATTAACACTAACTCTATGCTTCAAATTTAGTACGTCACGAGTTCAACTCTTGTTACTTGCAGTCTTAAAAAATTATTAAAAAATAATTACATGTAAGAAATATTTCCCAAAGACCACTGACTATGGGTATTTGGCAATATTCAAAAGAGCTGTATAGTCAGCCAAAAAATCAATTAATTAATAAATAATAAAATTGTGTTGTTGTTATTTACTGCTGTTCAAAATTCCACTTAATTAAAACCGCAATAAGTGACTATGAAATTCAAATCATCTAATTTATTTATTCTACTTAAAGCAATTAATCAATTTAATCTTTTTATTTAAAATCTATTAATACATCGTCTCGCCCGAGAAATCGGAATCTCCCCATAATAATATATTGAACCATTAATCTGTGTTATTATTTGTATTATGATATATAATATGATTAAATATTTATACATAAAAAATAAAAATTTAATAGAAAGGTTGAATAAAAACTTCATATTAGTTTTAAATTAAGCACAATCGAACTCTCAGTCAATTGGCTCGAAAATAATATACTCGCTGATTGAAAAACTGTCAATCAAATTCAGTTTAGATAAAAAATACACTTTTTTACAGAAATGATCATTTGTCAACACAAAATCTTCCGATTGCTATTAAGACTTGGTTTGACGATGATTTGCAACGGAACACGCAATGGGTATTCATTATCAACCTAAAGGTTTAAGGAATAGACTTATGTATGTATATGTAAATGTATCCGTGATGTTGTCTTTATTGACAGATCGTTTTGAAGTTTCTTTTTCGTCACAGGATATTGTGACAAATATTTTTTTTTTTTAACAACTATTGGCATTCGTTTGTTGTTTAAAGAAATTTGTTTATTTTTTGTGGATGACTGAGATTCAAGAAATTTAAAATGCCACTTTTATTGTTGAATACATAAACACTTATATAGTTCAAAGAAAATTAAATGCAGTTTATGTGAGAATTTTTAGAATTAGTTAGTTTTTAGTTACTTACTTAACTTATTTACTTTACGTAGTTTTGAAAAAAAAATGAACTAATTGCTGAAGAAAAATTTGCATAAAGTGAAGTAGCCAGGAATGTTATCCGAGGAGAATAGATCGTAACTTTAACCTAACGGTCTTTAAATTCTATATGTATCGTAATTTTAAAAAAAAAATATTTGGTGAAAGTGAAGTAGCCAGGAATGTAAGTTTGAGAAGAATAGATCAATATTGTGAATGAGTTAGCAAGCGATTTAAGCTCAGGAGAATAGATTATAGTTTCAGACCAAATTGCCTTTAAGTTCACTACATATCTTGAAGCAATTGAATACTATTGAACACCTTGCAACGCCTAACAATTTTTTTGGACAACCATACTTGAACAAAATCTCTGGTAGACATTATAACTGCTTATTTTGTAGTTTAAAAATATCATGATTTTATAAAAAGTTGGCTAGGATTGGTATCCAACTCATAAGGGTTCAAGGACACATCGCTACAAAGGTCCAGGTTCCAGATATCTTGGGCAACTGCAAAATACACATACTCGAAAAGTACTCTGCTCTCTAATATTCTGATATTTTGTATATTGTTCCCCTCTTGAAATGGCTAAATTAACATGAATATTCAACGTGAATATAATATCTGCAGTTGAGAATATAAACTTGAATAGATAAAGATTTCTGTCTGATCAGAAGACTAACCAAATTAAATAAAATTTCTAACTACCTACTATTTCAACTTAGGGCAAACTTAAGGCGAATGCATATTAGAAAGGACTTGGTCTATTCTTTAACGACTTTTGTTGAGTTTATATCTGTGCATATGAGGAAAAAATTGTATTATACCTATGTGCCAGTGCCCATAAATTGGCTACAAGAAAAATCAAAATCTTTGAGACTCTTTCACTTTCATCTGCGTCACCTGATAAAGGTGTTATAACCAGGATAAAAAATTTGTCAGATTGGTTCTACTTCACAGCTTTTTAAAGGGACGCTGTTCAAGCGATAGATGTTTCTACGTTAAAAATAATCCTTCAGGTTCACCGGCTCATCAGTAGCATTATTATTTCAGTAGCACTTATTTGTACTTAAGTAAGCTTTAGTGCAGCTTTTATTGAACCCAAAAATAGATGCACTAATTTTTGTTAATTAGTTGCAACAGCATCAGGAAGAACTTATTTGAAAATGAATATCGAAATATTATTGGCAAAGACTAAAAATTATTTTCTCAAAATTATGTAGGCCTTTGAATGTTATAACATATGTTATATTGCCAGCGAAATCATTTATTGACGAAAATGTTCAATTACAATATTATTTATATTTAAAAATGGAACTACGACTATTTACTGTGATGACAATTGAAGCTGTTAGTTAATGCGAATAATTTAAAAATTTATTTTAGTTTTAAATACTTTTAGAGTGTGAATGTCGGCAAACAGCTGACTGTATACTTAAAAATACTTTTACTTATTGTGTGTAAACACTATTAATTCATTTTGAAATTTATTTTAAAATAAATTTTTGGAATCGCGTAAATGCAGCACTTATCCACCAAATAATAGCCTATTCACACAGAAAGAATGTTTTATTCTTGGTTTTGATCTTTCAGCTCTGGTTTTCTAACAACATCACGGTAAAATCACAATCCTGCTCCACACAATCTGACAACCAATATTTTATTATTTATAAAATATTTTTAAAATATTATAAATTTTTTTATTTATAAATTTACTTTTAAATTAATATCAATATCAAAACAGGTCGTAATTTACAGACATACTATTGTGTTGTGGTTTAAGAACGCAAATAAGAAACCAGATCAAGATAATATTAGTATATGCCGTATAAACAGATTTAAAGTAAATCAAGATTCTTTCTATCATATGAATAGAAAAATTTTAGAAAAGTTTAAATATGAAACAAAACAATAAAATCATAAGAAATATTATTTTTATTGTTTAATTACTGTTAATGTATACACATATATTGTTAATAAATTATTAATAAGTAACACCTAAAAATATTATTGAAATAAATCAAAAATAGTAAAAAAAATTTAGCATGTTATTTATTTATTAAAACTTGACTATTAAATATGTTATGACCTTAAGCCCAGTTTAATTAAACTTTATTAAAATATAGGTTGAAATAATAAATAATTTTAATATATTAATAAAAATTTTGTTACAATTATAACAAATTATATTCTTAATAAATTCATTACTTTCAATAATTTATTGTTTAATGATTAAAACTATTATTAATAATTTTGTTTTTGTAACAGGCTAATTAATCAACTTTTAAAACACTTTTTTAAAAATTTAGTTTTTAAAAAATTCTGATTTCAATTCAATAAAATTGTATTCGTTCAATTAAAAAACAATTAAATTTTTGAATTAAAAGTTATTTTTAGGCCGTGTGTGAGTTCGAGTAAATTAAGGTAAAGTAAATTGACTTTTCCTAAGGATTTTTTACATTTATTTCTTATTTTTGGTTAAACGTTTTCAGATTTATTAATTTATTTATTAAACATCTTATACAATTTTTACAATGGTTATACCTAATTTTCCTAATTTTTATCTAATTTACCCTACTCGAAATTTTAGTAAATACCAACATTCGCTCCCATACTAACATAATTTACTATTTTCCTCAATTTACCATCAATTTACTCAAACTCGCACACGGCCTTATATATAAATATTTATAAATAATCTGAAAAAAAACTGACATATCTATGTAACTTTAAAATATAAACACAGCAAATGAACTGATCTCTAATAAACATAGTCAATTGCTTATCGAAAGAAGAAACGCAACTAACGTAACGATCTCTAAATTTCACCAAAGAAATTCAACAAAATTCACCATGAAACAAAAACAAAATTCCGTTTTATGACCAGTCTTGAATTATAGCTTGTGTTCGTTTTGTTGTTCGCCGCATGAAACGCTACGAATATTTTTTTGAGAAAAATCTAGTAAAAATAGTTTCAAAGTGAATCATAATTTTTAAATTTGCAAAGTAAAATAAAACACAAATTAGCAGATTTTAATATATTTAAAAATTTATAAAAATACAAAAAATTTGCTTATATACCAAAAAAAGTGCAATCGAAAAATTTATATTAAAAAAGTGAAATTTGTGTGAGATCTGAATAAAAAAAGACGCGCAGACGCAACGTTCTAAGCAAATAAACTTGTTTGTTTAGAATTCGCACGCATTTAAATCAATAAAATAATATATTATTTTGTATTGAAAATAAACGAAGTTGTGAGTTTTAAAACACAAAAATTAGTTATTAACAAAAATGGGTTGCGCAGTGAGTACAGCGCGAGATAAAGAAGCAGTGGAACGTTCGAAAAGTATAGATCGTGCGCTGCGAGCAGAGGGTGAACGCGCCGCATCAGAGGTGAAATTGTTGCTTTTGGGTGCGTCCATTTAAGTTTGTTATTTATTTTTTTTTCTACAAAACTTTAGTTAATCTAATTAATTCATTTATTTTATATAAAATGTGAAATGAAACATGTGCTATATAAATTTTTAAAAAAGTATTGCCATTACTCACAAAAATTCTGGGAATTACTCAACACAACAACAACAACAAGAATTATTGTTGATAAAACTCTTGCTGTCTTCATTATTTTTTGTGAATTTACCTGACGGCTGCATTAATGACGCTAAGCGCAATAAAAGTGCAGCAATGTTAATACGTGAAGTGCTGCCATATTTTTTTTTTTTATTAAAGAAGGAATAATTATCCTTGCCATGGAATTATTAATTTTGTTGTCAACTGTTGTGCGTTTTTGTGTCGATGAGTATGTAATTTTTTAGAATTGTGACTAATCTGATAAGAAAACGATTTTTACGAAAATATACAATTCTGAAGTGCAAACAAAAGGTGTTAATAAGTATTTTATTGCTTGAAAATTGTAAATATTTACTTAATTCTGCTTGAGCTCATCAAGACTGACTTTTGGTTGGTTATATTGTATATTTAATATATTTTGAATATATATATATACATATGTATAAAACACCAAAAAGAACAAATATTTTAATTATATGAAATCATTTATTAATGTTAATAAAGTGCTTCCCCCTTTAAGTAAAAAATAACGAAAGTTTTTGATTCAAAAACTAAAAGAAAACTCTCAGGTTTTAAGGGTATTTATTTCTTTTAATTCTTGTTTGTACTTCCGGTGACACCCATTTTAAAAACTCATTTCAAGTTTGATAAAATAAAAGCACATTCAAAAGAACAAACTTGTTTTGATTTTCGCAAAATTATAATTTACCGTGTCATTTGTCTCTTCCACACATAAAGAATTTATTTGGTGTTGCCATTTAATTATATGAACTAAAAAATTTAAAAAAAATTGTATAAATTATAGTATCAATTTACATAAATGATGTGTTTATTATCCTTAAAGATAGACAGCTGTTAGTAACTGTGTTCATAAGTAGTTTTCAGTATTATCTCTCTCGCTGTGGAATTTCGGTCATTTTACACGTTTACCATAAAAATAATTCATAATTTGTATAATTTTTTTTAAATGTTACATAAAAATTAATACAAAAATACAAATTGTATGAAATAATAGAATTGTATTAATTTAGCATGTTGTTATGTACTTGAGTTATAATGCAATAGCATATTCTATGTAAATAAATTTTATTCTGTTCTTCTAAAAATATAATCTATATTAAAAATCATTTTATACTTAGATACTTTGTGTAAAAAAAAATTAAGTTTGAGTATATCGTTACAAACTTATTTAACATCTATATATAAATACCATAACACTCATCTCAAGAAGCGTTCTTAAGAAATGATGACCCAAACACTACCTTCAGCATGAGTCTTATAGCATCCGATAAGAAACTAACTGATTTCTTGTTTGAGCTCTTCATCAATATATCAATCCTAGTCCATGGTTGGTTGGTTGGTTGCAGTGACAGGCCATTAGATATTTTACATGTACCTCAATTACCGATTTTTCGCCGTTTTACTACCACATTCCTCGCAAGAAGCCTAGTATAGTAGAGTAGAGACTAAATTTATTCCACCGAATTTAGATAATTTAATAGGTTTTTCGTCTTCACCGATGAACAGTCTAATAAACTATCAAAGAAGTGTCTTCCTAAGAACCTATATCTTCTAGACGCCAAAGCCGGGGATTCACAGAGAAAATGTGTTATGGTTTTTTTTCCTGCAGCTGTCCACAACTTCTGCAGTGAAAATTATGAAGAACACACCAAGAACACAGTGTTCACGCGGGCTCTTTTGACGAGTTTTGAAGTGAGAGGTTGCACATAACTTCAGTGCTTTCCATATGTCATCGGCAAGTTCTCTTAATCGTCTCTAGGGTAATATAAACCGGTACCGCCAGTGACGCATTCAGCTTTCTCGTTCCCTTCAATGATCCTAGTCCATACTCTTCAAATAAAATTTCTTTAACAAATAGAGCAGAATTAACTGAGTGAATAATGTTTCGTAAACAGATATCATATATTGTAGTAAGACCTTAATTATTGATCCTAAGTCAATGCTCTTTTAAATAAAATTACTTCTGCACATATAGCCAATTTACTAAGGAAGAAATATTTTGTAAACAGATATCGTGAACTGTAGTACGATTTTAAATACTATTCATATTGGAACTTATTTTACAATCATTATTAAAGTTTTAAAATTGACTTAATTATAATTTAGGTTAGTAAAGTTGTTGAATTAAGTACGACTTAAGTCATTACTTAGACTTACGTTATGATTGTGTAAAATTGTGTATACCAAAATGTGGAACGAAAGGTAAGAACAACGACGTATTTAACAATATGAGCTCGTCTATCTACAACAAGTCTCACTACCAAGCGAACACTTAATTAAAGAATTTTCAATCTATCACGCATGCGAATTACCTACTTTTTTTCAATAAACTTCAGAAATTTATTTATTAATGTATAATAAAAATAATAAATATAATGTGTAAAGTGTAATATATCAATTCGTTCTAAACAAAAGACTAAGGGGGAGTATGCTATGTCAGCAATTCTTTATCACTTTTCCTATTTACTGTACCATACAAACCTATAAAGTTCTCTAATTTTACTTCACTTCATTATAAACATTCTAACAAACTAAATATGCTTCTTTTCTGCTAATATTATATTATATTGTATTGTGTTATTATTATAATGATAATGCTTCTGTACATGGTTATCCATTTTGCGGTTCCTGAAAGTAATCTCGCTGTTTTGGTTAAAAAACAGCCAATACATTTTGTACGGGTTGCACCGTCCTGTTAAAATTTGATATTTTACTTATCCATATCTTAAGTCTCAAGTCAGAAGTGATTTTCTATTTATGCAATAATCCCTCAATAGTTATTTATCTGGCACACTATCAACCCTAGTATATGTCTAGTATATACTACTATAATTGTTTTTTTCTTTTGTAGTGTATTTAATGTGTATAAATTATATTGTAAAGATGAGGTTCCGTACCTTAGTCTCATTCCCCCCTCATTCTCTGGTTGATATATTTACCAAAAAAAAAAGTCTCATAACTGAAGAAAACTCGAAACAAAAAATATTGTAGTAAATTTTTGCAATTCAGGCACATTTCGGCAGTTGTTAAACATATTTTAAGTAAAATAGTCAACCTTAAACTAAACATATGTTAACTTGGATGATTAGTTTGTTTCACATATGTCAGAGAAACAATGATGTAAAATCAAGACCATAAAATGGTTAACGCTTTGTAAATATCTGTTATATATTGCGTAGAAAAATAAATCCTAAAAAATAATCAAGTAACTTAACCTAGGCTAGTTTTTGTATATATTGTTCTACATAAGATACATCCAAAGCTTAAGTTATACATAGAAATAAAAAAATCCCATTTCTTAATGGAAAATATTTAAAAATATTTTGAATTAAAAAAACATGAAAATGATGTAATATTCAAATTGTTATTTCCATTTTGTTTTCTTTTAAAAGATTTTGTCTACAATATCTCAAAGACTTCAATTTATTTTCAATTACTTTATCATTTATTGTTAATTTTGAAATCTGTTCAATATGAACTTTCATTTCCATTTATAAAAACTTCATCTAAAATTTCTATATGAAAATTACTTACATCTGCAAAAGTAGAGCAACGATGAGCATCGCATCTTTTGCAGCTTCTCTGAACTCTTAATATCGAACAATTTTACAGTATAGTTTTCTACATGAAAATTTATTTCTACCATATTTTTTTTATTTATTTCAAAAAGAAAAAAAACTTAATTATAAATGAAAAATACTTCAAAAACATATGACATATGTAAATTCCAAAGCCATTGCACATTGCATATTTGTGACATGAAAGGAAATGTTAAACCTTCGGAATTTTATGAATTTTCGTTATTTTATGTTGAGAAAATATCAGAAACTATCAGAAAACTGTGGAAAATGTGCTTTTCGAAATTTCGTATAAAATTGATGAAGTATAGCATTTTGAACTACAAAAAATATTTTATTATAACTGAAAAAATTAACCATTAAAAGAACGGAAAAGTATTTTTCAATTAAACAGTCACCAAAATTTTATGTCTTCATAAATTAATGGAATAATGCATTTCCCTTCATTTTTCATAAATGAGGTACACTCAGCTAAAATCTATTGCATTGCAGTGCATTGTATATATAAAGTATCTCTATCTACCTGCATTTACTTCAGCTACTTAAGATGTTTGTGTTTTTGTTCAAAGTAATTGTCTTATGCCAGTTATACGCGGTATATACGTAGATACAAACTGTATCTGCAGTTTGTACTGTGTATACGACTGTACTTACAGTCGAATAATTACAATTTTCATTGTCACTAAAACTCAAAACAATAACAAATGAAATATACATTTTCTTTGGGAGAAAACAATAAAATAAGCCACAGCAATGCGTCATGAAAAAAATGTATAGATACGTATACATTATAGCGGCGTTTGAACTTTTGCGAGATCTCAAGATCAACAAGCAAGCAAATGACTCAAATATGAAAACAATAGACTAAAATTTTACAAGCGTAAAGATACATTTGAAGGAAGCCGTGTCTACATTTTCTATTAAATCTCTAGTAGCGCATTTTTTTTGGGTTTACTCTGGTAGTAAATTTTTGTACACCTCAAAAATAAACATAAAAACTAAACATCTTTTTGTCGGTCTGCTTTTGAGCTTTTGAAAACCATAAAATATTTACCAACTGCATTATTATTTCAATTTACATTTACTTAAGACTCTACTTGATATCTCTCATTTAATTAAGATGAATTAAAGTTACAACTTTTCCAAGCTGATAACTGTTTCAACTACGGGTAACTAAAATATTCAACCAATTCCACCTCACTTGTACTAGAAATGTAGTCGAAATTCCCACTGTAACTGTTTT